AAACTATTGATCAAATCACACAAAAAAACTTTTAAAACAAGGTAAGTTGTAGGCATCTGTACACTTCAATGAGAAATACTTTAGCATGCATATCATTAACTGTTGTTACATGTCATCAAGTCACTTCCAGTGCATAGCAATTCTGTATAGGGTTTCCATGGAGTAGCTGGTGAGTTTGAACCGCCAACCTTGTGGTTAATAGTCCAGTGCTTTTCCTACAGTGCCACACAACAATATAGGAGTCCTGGTGTGGCACTGTTATGCATAAGGTATGCATAGGGTATTCCCTCCCTTTCCAAAGTAGCATGATAACATTTTACACTAGAATGGATTTAAACAACAAGGAAGGGGGAGATCTCCCAATCGGACAGAATTCAACAGCCTCACAACCTACCATGGGCCATGAGAAAAAAGCCAGCGTCTCTGAAAGCCAAGGACACTCTTACCTCCTGCTCTGCCTGGTAGAGTCTGACAGTGATGTTCCTCTGGAAACCTGCGTCGCTGGCATCATGAAATACCCCCAGGCTGGTGATGACGATTGGATAGAGAACACGGAAACTCACACTCACAACTTGGTCCTCAGAGGGTCCTGAGGAAATGTCCTCAGACAGACTGAATGCCTCAATTTCCTGATTCAAAACTAAGGAATGAATGAGAAAGGGGGTTTTATATAAGTCGTCAAACACAACCTTTTATTTTACTAATACTAAGTAAGACAGTAGACTTGATAGCAAAATCTAGATCATTATTATATAATTCTTTCACAAATGGCATGAATTAAAAAAAGAAACTTATACAAGAATATGGCTACCTCTAGAAATAAACTTATTTTGAAATTTAATTAGGAAGTTTTCAGCCACATCTAAGCAAGTTATTTAAACACCACCACACTACTTTAATGTTTTTTTTCCCAAAAGCATACATATACATGTATGCATATATATATAAAAGAATCCTGGTGGTATGGGCTACTTAGACATTGGTTACCCAAAATGGGGGTGGGGGGCCTATAAAGGCAAGAAGTGACTGGCTTACAAGCTTTCAAGAGGGAGCCTAGTTCCAGATGGGGCAGGGGTAGGTAGAACCTCCAGTGAATGATTTCCAATCTGTTGGAACCGGGCTGGTGGAAGGAAATGGGAATAGGACCCTTGTGGTACAATAGTGAATAAATGCCATCAGGACTGACTGTGAGGGTAGGAAATATGGAGGCAGATGTTTTTTGACAAAAAGAGGATATTGATTGATTTTGCAGCCCAGGAGTAGAGGTCCCTGGGACCATCAAGTGAGAAGAGCAGAGAGCGGGACCCTACCACAGAGAGGCAGTGACGCCAGG